CAGGGTCTCCATGGGGGGGGGAGGGGCGGGGACAGCAATGTAGTGGTCCTCAGGGAGTAGCTGCTTGTGTTGGCAAGGTCTTTGTGTAGGTCTCTGGGAGATGGCGTCAGTGTGAGCCCTGAGGTGGCCCCTACCCGCCGGCAGGGGGCTTTCCGGAGGGGCGTCACACCTTCCTGGATCCCGGAGGGAAGGAAGCGAAACTTTCTTCTCGCTCTCCGCGGGCCCCCCTGGACGCCGCTCCGGAAATCGGGGGCTCCAACCAGCTCTAGCGGCTGGGAGAGGGAGAGCAGAGGGGGCCTGCCCGGAGGGTAAGGCACCACCCACGCCCGCCCGCTGGCCCGGAAAAAGCCGGCTGAAGTCTTGTATAGAGAGCCTGGCCCCAGTCCTTATATGGGCCGCCGGAAGCGGCTAGCGCGCATGCCCTACGTCATTACTTCCAAATATAGTTGTGGAAGTCTGGCAGATCTCGTGGCGGGAAGGTTCGCGCACCAGTGCGGGTGTGTGTGTGTGTGGGGGGGGAAGCCTCCCCTTAAAGGGCCCGCACCACGAGTGAATGGAGCTGTTCGAACAATTCTGCATTTTCTGAGGAACTGGAATTAGGTTTTCTTGGAACTGTAGTGCGTAGCGGAAGGTGGGGCCGATGTTTTCTATCTATCTGCTGTATCTCTGCGTTGCTCAGTTTCTAGGTCCTGTACCAACTCCGCCTACCGGGTAGCAGAGGCGGAGAACGGCTGCGTCGTTTGGGGGACCGCAGCCACATGTTCACTCGGGCTGTGTTGCGGCCGGGTCCTCCGCCTTACGACCTCCACGCCCATGGTGGATTTCGTGCCGACGGAAACTGGGGTGGCGGGGGGGGGATGCTCAAAGAGGAACGCAGAGATGGCAGCCTGGGCTGCGCTTGTGTCTGCAGACGTCCGCCGCCCGTGTAGTGGGCAACTTTGCCCTAGAGCCAGCCAGCGTGTCCCGCTTTCTTAACTGCTTCCAAACGAGGGGAATGACGGGGGCTGGCGGACGCTGGAGACACAGGAGAGCTTCAGGTTCCAGTGGTCCCCTTTCACCGCCGTGGCTCATTTATTCGTTTAGCAAATATTGGACGAGTCATTCTGCCTCGGTTTCTCACCTGAAGAAATAAGATATAACTACCCTCCGCGGAGTGGAGGTGAGAGATCAATGAGATGTTTATGAAAGGAAAGCCTTTAGCGCCTGGTACGTAGTAAGAGCTTAGTAAGTGTAAGCATCGTTATTGATTAAAAAAAACAAAACAAGACATTAATTAGGCGCCTGGTAGATGCTAGGCACAGTTCCCACGGGGGATGTACCGGTTAGAACCCAAGTCTTCCCGGGTGCGAAGGGAAACGTGCCGCCTACGACCCGCAGGGGTCTTCAGACGCAACCCGTGGGTGGACCCTGAGCCCCACCCACGGCGCCTGTCCCCTGGGCCCGCGCGCGGGTGCAGTGGGGGGCCCTGAGGAAGCAGACCACCCCGAGAGCTCAGCTTGGACTGGGGAACGCTCCTCCTCACACGAGTTCGGGTCCCTTTTCTTTGCTCGGTAAATTCCACCCTGTCGCTTTAAGGAGTCTCTCGCCTCAGAGCTGTGGAAAGCCCGGATGCGACTTTCTGATTGGGCGGGGCGTCTCAGTGACTTCACTTGAGGTACAAAAGGGCCCGGGTGGCGGGCGCAGGGGCAGAGCGTCCTGGCAGCGTCTCAGCGTGGGTTGGCTTGTACAGAGAGGCGTGAACGAGCGCCTTGTCCAGTGTGCACCTGCCACCTGCCCTGCCCAGCCGGGTGTCCCCGCCGCCTTCGCCCCTCCGTCAAGCAGCTATGGAAGTGCAGAAGGAGGCGCAACGCATCATGACCCTGTCGGTGTGGAAGATGTACCATTCGCGCATGCAGCGCGGTGGCCTGCGGCTGCACCGGAGTCTGCAGCTGTCGCTGGTCATGCGCAGCGCCCGGGAGCTCTACCTCTCGGCCAAGGTGGAAGCCCAGGAGCCCGAGGTGCCCTTGCCGCCCGCCCGCTGCCCTGACCCTTGCCTGCACCCGCCGCGGGAAGCGGAAGCCGCAGCAGAGGTAGCGCCCTGCGACGGTGAGCAGCCCTCTCCGGAACCCATGGACACGCAGGAGACACCGAGAGCGGAGGAGACCCCTGCCCGCAGTGCCCAGCGCCCCGCCAAAGTCAGCCGCAAGCGGCGGAGCTGCAGCCTGAGCGACGGTGGGGACGCTGCACTGGTCCCGAGTAAGAAAGCCCGCCTAGAAGAGGAGGAGGAGGAGGAGGAGGAAAGGGCCTCTTCGGACGTCCTTGATCGCCTGCAGCCCCCTCCGGCGCAAGCGGAGGGTGCCTTCCCCAACCTGGCGCGTGTGCTGCAGAGGCGCTTCTCCGGCCTCCTGAACTGCAGCCCCGCCGCGCCCCCGACGGCGCCGCCGGCGTGCGAGGCGAAGCCGGCTTGCCGCCCGGCGGACAATATGCTGAACGTGCTGGTGCGGGCCGTGGTGGCCTTCTGAGGGTCCGTGAGCGGCGCTACCGGAGCCCAGAGCGCGGGCCGAACCGTCGGCCAGAGTGAGCAGACCCAAGGCGAGGCCCACCCCCGGGGGAGCGCCCGTGGAAACCGTGGAGAGGGGCAGCCGCCCTGGCTGCCGAGATGCCCTGAGAGGGACTCTACCCACGGGGTGCCGTCGCCACCTGTGTGCAGCGGCGACACCAAGAAACCTGAGCCGGGGGCGCGGGCGTCTTCCCCCAGACCTGCCGCGCCCACAGGTGCTGTCTTAACGGACTGGGATATGGACCTTACGCTCTCCTTCTGGGACTTGGAGAAGGGAGCTTTGGTTCTTTAAACTCCTCAGGGTCGTACTTTATTTTTTACTGGGGGCTGTGCTGCCCTTTCCAAGGTTTTTCAATAGTTGGTGTTTGCGTTTCCAACCTCAGAGAATTCCAGGCACTCCCCTTCCCCCTCCAGTGACATACTTGTGTAAGCGGTCATCGTTGCGTCATGGGCAGACGTGGGGAGCTTCCTGTTGCCTTGCGTGGGTGTGAGGCCTGGGAGGAGGATCTGGGGTGTGGACGCCCAGGGGAATGGGGGGAGGGCGGCCTGAGTCACTTCGCCTCCGCGTGCTGTGGGTTATTGCCCCGAGCCCCTACGCCTTCGGGGGCAGAGGGCAGATCTAATTTCAGGTTAAAATTTTTCTCATCTGGTGTGTGAGAGGTGGGAATATGTTGACAGTCTCAAGCTTGAGCCTCCCTCAGACCAACAGACACAATCCAGACGTTCCTGGTCTGAATCACGGAAATGGGGGGGGGGCGGGTTGTTCAGAGCGCTGTAAAGCTGAGCTAGGATCAGTTGCTGGTGAGACTGGGCCAGTTTGGGGGGAGGGGGGTTCTGCTTACCTTTACTGTGGTGGATTCTGTTAACTCCCATCTGTCTGGCCTTTTTGCTAGAAATGCCAGATAGGAAAATAAAGACCATTTGAAGAAAAAGTCTGGAGCCCGTCTGGTTTTCTTCCCTGGTGGGGGAGGGGCAGGGTTAAGGGGTCAGGAGCTGGCTGGCGGCTTGCTGGGGCCCCAGAAACCGGTCTGACCGGCTACCACGTGGGCAGAGTGGGCGGGAAGGGGCCGGGCGCCTTTTCTTTGCCAGAGCACTGAGTGCTGATTGCCTGGTGCTCTGACCTTTCCTTAACCCTATCACGTTTGGGGGTTCCTTGGACATTCTCCTATATTTCTGGCTGGGTCGGAGTGCTTTCCGAGTTCAGACGTTTGGGGGATACTTTGGGTACTGTGCCCGCAGCAGAGTCGGGGGGACCACACCTCCTTTGGAGACTTGAAGGATGTCTCCCAGCAGTCCTCCCTTCCCCACCCCTCCGCTTGATTAACTGAATCAGCAGGGATCCCACAACTGGGGTGGAACTGAGCAGGTGACCTTTGGAGCACCCTTTATGCCCAGTTCCAGTCTCTGGCGGTACAACTGTGGTTCAGGCAAGGAGGTGTGCTCCCAGCCTCAGTTTCTTCATCTGCAAAGTGGGCCTCAACAGCTTCTCTGCGAGGCTGTAGGTTTAGAAATTCCCGTGGGAGCGCTTGTTTGCTTTGGCCCCACCCCATCCCCAGGTTAGTCCCCCAGAGAGGAGGAAACCCTCACAATTTCCCCAGTGCTGGTTTAGGAGAGCGGCTGTAGATGTTGCACTGGGGGTGGGGGGTGGGGGCTGCTGGGAGGACAAAGGAGCCGCAGGTGCGGGCGGTGAGGGCGGCGGGAGGCGCCGGGAAAGCTCCCGCTCCGGCTCCAGACGGCAGGCTCCGCCACGGCTGGCCTCCCGAGACCCGGGGGACCTGACCCCGAGGGTTGAGGGAGGAGGGCGCGGGGGAGGGGCGGCCCCGCCCCCAAATGCCCGCCCCTGGCTCCCCTCCTGCGTTGTTCACTGATCGCACTCCCTCCTCCCTGCCTCCCTCAGGGCCCCTCAGGGCCTCTCAGGGGAATCTCGCCTCCACCGCAGCCCGTTTCCCTCCCGGGAAATGTGAAAGAGTTTAGTGCCGCCCAGTCGAGGGACCGACCCACAGCTCCGCAGTGGGATGCTGGGGGACTGGAGCCCCACACCCCTCGCGGTATCTCAGTGCGTCCGCGTGTGGGCACCTCCCTCGAGAACCTGGCCCGGCCCCGGGAAGTCCCCGGCGGCTGGGGAGGGGCATCACTGCGCATCCTGTCGCAGGAACCGCCGGGCGCTTCCTTCCACGGGAAGCTGCTTGGCCGACCCCCGCCCCCACCCGGGCCGCCTGGGGGTTTCCGGTACTCGGTCACTGGGGGCTGAGGGCTGGAGGTGATGCTGTGGGAGACAGGCCAAGTGCCCCTCACATACATCCGCTTAACGTATACCCTTCCCCAAGACCCCATTTCACCCATCAGAAGAGACAAAATTGAAAATTTGTCACAACAGTCGACATTGATGAGCCATGGACTTTCCACGCCATTACATGGCATTGGGTTATTGGGACAAGCCCTCAGGAGGAGTAATCGATTGGACAATAGCTGTGAAAACTAAAACTGTCACAGATCTCATAGCCCGTGGATCCCCACGGAACCTCAGGCCTGGAAAAAGAGGTTCCAGAAGGGTATTCACTACAGCATTGTCCAAAATTGGCACAAATTGGGGACTTCCCTGGTGGCGCAGTGGTTAAGAATCCTCCTGCCAATGCAGGGGACACGAGTTCGAGCCCTGGTCCAGAAAGATCCCACATGCCGCGGAGCCACTAAGCCCATGCACTACAACTACTGAGCCTGCGCTCTAGAGCCTGTGAGCCACAACTACTGAGCCCGCGAGCCACAACTACTGAAGCCTGCGTGCCTAGAGCCCGTGCCCTGCAACAAGAGAAGGCACCACAATGAGAAGGCTGCTCACCGCAACTAAAGAAAGCCCGCTCGCAGCAACGAAGAACCAACACAGCCAAAAATAAATAAATTTATTAAAAAAACACATACAGCAGATATTCACTACTATATATAAAATAAACAGCAAGGACCTGCTGTATGGCACAGGAAACTATATTCATATCTTGTAATAACCTATAATGGAAAAGAATCTGAAAAAGAATATATATCTAGGGACTTCCCTGGCAGTCCAGTGGTTAAGACTTCGCCTTCCAATTCAGGGGATGTGGCTTCGATCCCTGGTTGGGGAGCTAAGATCCCACATGCCTCAGGGCCAAAAAAACAAAACATAAAACTGAAGAAATATTGAAACAAATTCAATAAAGACTTAAAAAAAAAAGGTCCATCTATTTATGTCTCTATATATCTCTGAATCACTTTGCTGTACACCTGAAACAAACACAACATGGTAAATCAACTATGCTTCAATTAAAAAAAAAAGTTGTTTGTTTTGAAAAAAATAATAAAAGCACATACAGCAATACAAGTACATGTACATGTATGGGAAAGTGTGTACAGACACTGTGCTAAGCCCAGAGAGCTGGAAGAATGGTTCCTCATCCAGTAGCTCAATGTGAATGAGAGCTCCCCTCCCAGCTTGAGTTTGGTCTAATGCTAATGATTTGACAGGGTTGATTCTTCCTGTCTTCAGGCCCCCACACTTGACACTCCCACCTCACCCGTGGTTCCTGCCTCAGGCCCTGGGTCCATCTCTGTCTATACTCACCCTTAGGTAGGCTTATTCAGTCTTAAGGCCCTAACTGCTACCTCTAGGCTGACTCCCAAATTTTGCTCTCCATCCTGGACCTCCCCCTAACCTCCAGACGTGTCTGGCCAAGTCCTCTCTCTCTGTCTCCCCTTGAGGCTCTAAGGTATTCCAAACCTAGCAGGACCTAAAGAGGATTCTTGCTGCTTCCTGCCAGCCTTTCAGCTGAGGAGGAATCTTTCTTGACTTCCCTTTTCTCCTTCCTTCATACCCTGTCCAGTCGCAGGTGCTGTCAACTTGACTATTCATCCCACTCCAAGCTTTTCCCCATCCTCATGGCTCCCACCTTGCTGTGAGCTACCTTCACCTCTCACCTGGGTGAGGGCAGTGGCTTCCTCCCTGCCCTTGACACCCACAGTCTATTCTGTGCAGCAGCTGCACTGATCTTATAAAAATGCAAACGGGATCATTTCACTATCCCAGCTTTCCTCTGCTTCATCTACACTGGCCTCCTTTTTGCTTGGAGAACAGGACAGGTGTGTTCCAACCCCAGGACCTTTGTGCTTGCTGTTCCTTCTGCCTGCAATGCTCTTCTCCCAGACATCCACAAGTCCATCCTCACTTTCTGCTGAAATGCCACCTCCCTGGGGAGGCCTTCTTTGGCTACCTGATCTAAAATAGCACCCCACTCTGTTACCTATTCCTTTACCCTGTTCAGCCTTCTTTAGAGCACTGCTCACCTCCTGAAAGGATATATTTAAGTTCTATTTAGCATCCGTGGCCCCATATAAATGTCAATTCCATGAATACCCAGCCCAGTCCTGAGTAAGTGAATGAGGTTGGCTGGGGTAAGCAGGTGCTAAATGCTTAATATTTATTATCTCATTAATCAGTGGCTTCCCATGGCTCTTAGAATTGAATTTCCCAAACTTCAGACAGTTGAGGGTCAGGATTTTTGTCATATCTGCTTAACAACAGTACTATTATTTAAGTAATATATATTTTAAACTTAACCCACTTGTCAATCACTCACCATACTTAGAAGGTAACAGTGTATAAAAGTTACAATGAAAATGAAACACTGTCATAAGACCCTGCTGAAACAGTAGCCAATGTTAGGTTCCAGACAGCTTCCTTTGTTACAAAGGAAGATTAGAAAGGTTAAAGACACATTATTGCCAAAGACATCCTTAGACTAGCTGAAAAGGGAGAGACTCTGAGGGATTCGTTACATTATTTAAATAACATTGAATCACTCCGCCCACTGTCCCAGAATTAGGAAAATTCTGCTTCTGGAAGAGGGACAAAACCCCTACAACGGTCTGAAAGACTCTGCTTGATCTGTGCCCAGCCCATCTCTGGCTAATCTTGCATCATTCTCTGGCCAC